GTGGAAGCGAGAATACAGTTTTATAGAAGCATCTTGCACTGCTGAAGTTTTATTTGCTCTTCCATACCAATAGTGTACTAACATAGGACACTTCGTTCGAGCATCACTACAGGAAGGGGACAGTTTTTATACATGGCATACTGCCATTTGTGCACTGAAGGCTTTTAACGTGAACAGCAGTTTCGAAACAAAACACTGTTTTCAGAGGGCTCCTGTGACCGTCTTTTTTAGTAGCTGCAATCTTATAACACTGGCTCCTTTCTTCCTACTCAGCACTTCACCAATCGGAGAGATGAGTTTGAGGGGATGAGGGAAAGCATCCTTGTTTGGCTCACAGAAATGGACCTCCAGCTGACAAACGTGGAACATTTCTCAAAAAGTAACTTTGATGACAAAATGCGCCAGTTAAATGTACGTATCCTTATAAAGCAGTTGTTTAATAAAGACCAGCTGATCCTATTGGGCTGCCCTCTCTTGACAGAATCATCTCATTTTCTGGAACTTCATAATAGCCAACAGATCTCTGTAGGGCTGTATTTGTTTTAAGACACCAGAAAATTGTTAAGACTTATCCTCTGAATCAATATTAAACTCTACAGTATTTAAATTCAGATTCAGTGTTCAAGCTCAATTCTATTCTGCCATTTTCTCCTAACACCGAGTGTCAGTGACAGTGGTATCTGGCCTGCAGGTTAACAGTAAAACCTACATTCCCAAATACAGGCATTCTTTTCTGGTGAGAATTTTTTTTGAATTGGCATTAAGGTAAGATCTCTCCTCTGAGTGCATTGTTTGTAGCTGCGACTTTCAAACAAAAATAAGACAGCAGGCATGTGCAATGATTCTAAAGAACATACTAGTTCTTTGCTACCTGCTCATATGCTCATTTCTCCTTTCCTCCTACGCTGTTAATTGTTTTGGGATGTAGATTTACTGTGTTGTAGGCTGGAGGCCCAACCAGCCAAACTTCTTTGCTACTGAGAAAAAGATTGTGTGTACCCAACAGAAAAATAAGCTCTGATTAGCTGAGCTCATATTGTCATCCCCTGCAGGCTCAGGACAATGCAATGATATTGAGGTACACATGGGTGGAAAATGCTATTTCATTTAGAACTGTAATACTGCTAATAAAACAAACCTCTGGACTAATAAAACAAAACTCTGGACCACTCGAGTAAAAAGATATTTGCCAAATGAAATTAGACAACAATGTCAATTGCTGCTTTTCTTTCACTGCAGTGAGTGAGAAAAGAAGGATAAACCTTAGGCTAGAAAGGGACATTGCAGAAGTAATTATTTTTCTTGTATGTTCCAAATAGGGTTTCCAGCAGGAAATAACACTAAACACCAATAAGATTGATCAGCTAATCGTTTTTGGGGAGCAGTTGATTCAGAAGAGTGAGCCTTTGGATGCTACCCTGATTGAAGACGAATTGGAAGAACTTCATAGATACTGTCAGGAAGTGTTTGGGCGAGTTGCCCGGTTCCATCAAAGACTAACTTCAAGGCATCCTGTAAGAAGCAACAGTTGTTTTGATGCTTTGGCAAGATTTTGGTGTTTGAACTGCAATGCTCATTGTTTATCCCTAGCAGCTTGACTGGTTTGAGCTCAAAGTGGTCAGGAGCCCCTCAGTAATTGTACCAGCTTTGCTAAAGCTTTGTCGCCAGTCTTGTCTCCTCACACCTCTCATGTTGGGTCTCCATCTGCAGAATCTGGATAATAGCATGGAAGTAATTCACAGGGTTAATATTTAGATAGTAGTGGTTTGAGGGCTTCAAAAGCCTTTTTGGTGTTTTTAATATCACTTTGTTTTCTTTAATTTCAGTAACGTGCTTAGAATATCTCTTTATGGATTTGTTTGTGAGGCTCCATCTGTCCACTTTCTTGTGGAACCCCTGAATGGGGAACAGCATGCTCTTTGCTTTTCACTGGGAACATTTAGCTGATTCTCAGTTTGCTTTGGCTCAAAAAGAAAGAACATCTATTAAAAAGCCAGGTAGAGGAAGTAACATGACCATCTACGAGTAGCTGTTCACCCCTGCCTGAGCATCAATTCATTGCTGACCTGTGCAGTCCATCTGGAACTGGGTACCCCTCCCTGCAAACTAGGAAGAGATGTTATAGTGGTGGTGGTTGAGTGTCTTGAAAGAGGGGAGGTAGCTGCTGATGTGAGGATTGTTTTGGCAAAAGAGGAAGGAGGCAGAAATTATGCTTCCCTTTAATTTTAGGCACGGGGTCTTCGATTACTGCAGCTGACCACAAAACAGTCCCCAGTAGTCCTGTGTGATTCAGTCATTATCTCATTAAGCTGTGTAGATCTATTGTAAATCTTATTAATATGCAGTAATTGTTATTTATTTTTAGGGATTGGATGATGAAAAAGAGACCTCTGAAAATGAGACAGATCCAGAAGACTGCAGAGAAATCCAGAATGATCCCTGGCATAAGAAGGCCATCAGTGAGGGGCCCTCTTCACCACAGTCCCTTTGCCACCTTATGCCCCCTACTCAAGGTCATGAAAGATCAGGCTGTGAAACCCCTGTCAGTGTTGACTCCATCCCACTCGAGTGGGATCACACAGGTGATGTGGGAGGTTCTTCCTCTCACGAAGATGAAGAAGAAGCAACATATTACAGTGCTCTGTCAGGTGAGAACCAATTGCCAGCTGTTTGTTTTGACGTGGACAACTGCAGGATGTTCCTGTGTGGGAAGGGAGGGGGATTGAGGTCTTGTTCCCACACTGTTGGTTGGTTTTCAAGTACTATTAATAGATGTGAGCAGTCTCATCTCTTAGATGTCCTGATGAAGAGAATGGTATTGTCTAAAGCAAGCTTATATTTTCAGAAACACAAGGTTTTTAGAAATATTACTTTTTAAGAATGTTTGATGAAAATACTACTAACAACTTATTTTGTTCTTTGTCTTTGCTGTCCCTCATTGTTTCAGTTGTTTTTAATAGTTGGAAAACATTGAATAGTGAGGAAAATGACATTATTCTTTTTTCAGATGTAGAAATCACTGAAAATCCAGAGGCATATCTTAAAATGACCACAAAAACTTTGAAAGCATCTTCTGGTAGGCACCTGCTAATGCATGTGTCTGAACATGGCAATCTCCCTGTGCTGCACGCTATATTCCTCAACCTCTCTCATATGTAATGTCTGACTTCCTGCCTTGTGTGGACACCATGTCTCATCTTGTCATGGTGTTCTTACGCTGCAGTATTCACATGTACATTACAAAGCAGTCAAGAACATACCATTTAGATTTTGCCTGGTAAATGCCAAGGTGGTTAATGTGCATTTCATTGTATTGATCCAAAGTCTTTTGGTACTTTCTTGGTGGTTTGCTCTGGGTAGTATCACTTTTTTGGTGTTTCTAATTTTGATTGCATAATTACTGAAGGAAATAGTTCCAACTCTGCAAGTATTTTTTGTGTTTTGTGCATGACAGAACCGTGTGTGTCCTGTCCGTTAAATCCAGAACAAACGTTCTCCAAATCAGGACATGTCTATGCTTGTCCCTACTGAAGTCCGTTGCAGATGTGTGATAGTATTGTTGAGATGCAAACTTTGGAAAACCACAGTGCAGGCTTTTTCTTTTATTTTTTTGAATACTCATACCTGTATTTAAGCATTTTCCAGAAGAAAACAGAATGTCCCATAACTGCATGGCTCTCATCTCATTACCTTTGAAACACTGTTGATGTTTTGCAAATGTGCATGCTTTGCAAGGAAAGCTGCAAAACTGTCATTTTTATGCCATAACTTGATGCCATTTTATTCAGAGCGCTTTCTAACTTAATACAAAGCTTCCTTGTGGAGATGGGATTTTGCACTCATGGTTTTGGTTTTATTTGTTTCAGGAAAGTCTGTTTCAGAAGCTCATCCTTGGCATTCTCCAGATAGCCCAGTCTGCAGGAAACACCGATACAACCAGGCAGAGGTGGTTGGAAATGTGTTGTCCGCTCCAGAAACAAGTACTCCCTATAAGCCAGACTATGTGAGTTGGAGGCTCTGTGGGCACTGAACCTGTACTACACAGTCTGTTTGTTGTTCCTGTGTAACTCCTGTGTAACTCCATTCTCTTCCCAAGGAAAAGATTAGTCATGAGGGGAATGTTCACTTTGTGCAAACTTAGACATTATTTCTGGTGGCTCAGGTAACCAGTGAGAGTCTCTATCCACTCGCTAGAAAAGCTTCTTTAAAGCAATTCAGAACAATCATGTTAGGCTCCTGATCAGAGTCAGTGTTTGGAGGAACTTACTTCCTCCAATGTCATAGGACAAGTCTAGGAGAATTTATCCCCCCCCCAAGGAGAGGGTGTGAATACCCTCCCTTGATACTTACTGACATACCTTCCTTTCCTAAGCAGACCAATTTGAAGTGTCCTTTTCTAGCATGCAACCCACCATTTAATCTGCTTCTGGACACTAAAAAATGTGCCAAAATGGCTATTATTTGTTAGTGCCTCAGCCTTGGTGGCTGGTTGCCAGCCATGGCTTTTCCAGCAGCTGCCAGGCTCAGTGGATCTGGACCAGTTGTCAGCACTCTTCCAGGCACAAAATAGTACTGGTATCTGGCTGCATTGTCATCATTAATCCAGTCTTAGAGCCTTAGAATCAATATTGCCAAGACCCAGGATCCAACAAAGAGTGTCAGCAAATGCATGTTGTCTGGTACATGTAGTGCAAAAGTAATTAATTTGCCATGTCCAGCCTTGTAATAATTAGCATCACTATGGTGTGTGTTCGTTTACTGAGAAGGCACAGAGAGCCAGTATAAACTATTAGCAAAGATGCAGAAGCCCAGTGCTAAATCTGACATGCAAGAGCTCAGCGGCAGCCCAGCCACCCCAAAAATGAAGCTTAATGGGTTCAGAGGAGGCCACAAAAATCATCAGGGGGATAGAACACCTCTCCTGTGAAGAAAGGCTGAGAGAGTTGGGTTATTCAGCCTGGAGAAGAGAAGGCTTTGGGGAGACCTTATTGCAGCCTTTCAGTACTTAAAGGGGGCTTATAAGAAAGATGGCGGCAAACTTTTTAGCAGGGCCTGTTGTGACAGGACAAGGGGTAATGGTTTTAAACTGAAAGAGGATAGATTTAGACTAGATATAAGGAAGAAATTTTTTATAATGAGGGTGGTGAAACACTGACACAGGTTGCCCAGAGAGGTGGTAGATGCCCCATCCCTGGAAACATTCCAGGTCAGGTTGGGCGGGGCTCTGAGCAACCTGATCTAGTTGAAGATGTCCCTGCCCACAGCAGGGGGATTGGACTAGATGACCTTTAAAGATCCCATTCAATCCAAACTATTTTTATGATTCTATGATTCTGAGATAACCTTTGATGGCTTGTTAACCTGCAGGGCTCACCCACCAAAATGTCATTCCAGGTGAAGCAGCTCAGCTCTGCAAGCAGCAGCAGCATCAACAAGGAGAAAATTACATCTGCTAACATGAGTGATGAAGAACCCCAAGATGACCAAGAGCTTGTGAATATAGCAGCTGCAGAGAAGCAGTCAGGTACAGAGCATTAGGAGTGGCTTTGGTGCTGTGGTGTTTGTCCTGTGACTCTGGGGGAAGCAAAGCAGAGATGGCACGAAGGGAGCACATTTGCCTTGAGATCAAAATAGAAGTAAATCACTATCCTCTAAATTAACATATTTTGGTAAGATTCACTGAGCTAACTTCTCACCTGGTACTGTCCAACCCATGTTTGCTGTTCTAAGCTTTTACATTTTCTGCCAGAATTGAGATTTTTGTCACTCATAATATACTTCTCTCTCTTTGCTGGTTGGAATGAATGGGAATGATTTCACTTTTGTGTGATACTGAATACTTCAGACTTTTAATCAGATTTCAAACCGAAGAAGTGTGTCTCTGTCTAAAATAAGATTCCTAGAGCTCGTTTTCTCAGTTATTGGTACTCCATATAACAAGATGCTACAGTTCCCATTTACAGAAATGTTTTGTCAAAGCTGATAATATATTTTGTTCTTCACTGTCTTCACTGTGGTCCTTGCTTCCAAATAGGCCAACAAGCTGGTTCTCTTAACCTTTTAGGACCTCATTCCTGGTTTCAGGTGCTTGAGACTGTAATAACACATCCGTACTGCAATCACAAAAGCCAATCAGGTTGTAAAAAGAAGACTGCAGCAATATGCACCAGCTTACTTAGTTTATGTCTCTGGTCTCTCACAAATGGACCAGGATTGAGTCCCATACATGGGATGAATAGGAAAAGGGCTTAGATGTGCTTCCAGAAATAGTGTTAGTGATCGCACAGGTGGCATCTCCATCTCCTTTAGCACTGAATTCATGAAACATAAACGCAAGTTCTAACTGCTGGATCATGCTTTGTCCCATGATGAATTTTGGTGTCTACCAAATCACAACTGGGCTCATTGAATTCCATCACCTTAGATTTGCTCTATTCTTCCAGGTGAATTGAAACATCTTCAATTAATGTGATTAAAATCCTGTGTAGCATTACTATGTGGATAACTTGGCCAGTAATACGAAACTTACAAACTGCAGAATCTCAAGATAACAGTAGTACATGGTGGCAATTATTTGGCCTTGAGTAGATAGGAGAATAATTTACTCGTAAAACTCCTTGCATCTGTTTTACGCACTTTTCACCTTACTGAAGATTTAAACATTTGTTGTTCTATCATTTGTAGGCATTATTGATAGGTGGGAGCTCATCCAAGCTCAAGACCTCAGAAATAAACTTAGGATGAAACAGAAATTGCAGCAGTGGCAGCAGCTGAACTCAGATCTCAGCGACGTGTCTGCGTGGCTTGAGAAAACTGAAGAAGAGCTAGAAGAGCTGCAAAAAGTGAAACCTCCAACCAGCATGCAGGCGTTGGAACAAAGGGTCAAGAAATTGAAAGTAAGTTACGGCATACTGAAAAGCGGGATTTCAAGATGCTCGTGGTCTTTATCATTGCCTTTGTGCTCCTAGGGTCTGCTGGCAGCATGAATGCTAATAACAATGTGTGTGTGCCACAGAGGAGCTAAGCTGTTTTCAGCTAAGAGGACTAAAGAGGGTAGTTAAGCAAGGTGCTTCTGTCTTCATATGCAGAGATTTGCAGGCAATATGCCTGGGTACAACAGCAGCCTGGCTGAAATAAAAACCTCTCCCTTCCTGTTTTCTTGCAGAGACACTTTATTCTCTCTCAAACAAAACATTCAGCCCCAAACTTCTCCTTTTAGGCCTTTTGTGTTAGAAAACAAACATAGAAAAAAGCTAAATAGTGAAGGCTTAGACTCCGCAGATGCCTAGGGTCAGGTCTTGTCTTGGGGGGTTGCGTATTCTGAGCAGTGATACTGGCATTTTTTCCTTGTTCTGTGTCATTCCCCTCTATGCAAACCAGAAAGGGATTGAAAATTAGCCAGGTCTACAGGCTACAAAGTCTAGGCTGATATTTTTTTCAATTGAATTAATGGAGGGGGGCAGGGTTGTAGCTCCAATAGGGAGACTGAGAAAGATCTGCTCTAAAGCTGTGGGTTTTAGCAATATGGTGTTTGCAAAAAATCTTAGCTCTAAATGTGTCCTATAGTTGAAGGATACATCATTTCAAAACATGCAGTTGCATTTTTTCGCTTAGCAAATGCAGATTTCTCATCGAATAGAATGTATTAGGTAAAAATGAGAAACAAAATAAATTCAGTCTCTGCTAATCTTCAGCCAAATAATAGAACAGTGAGACAATAACGTGAACATTTGTAAGCATGTATGATCATGTTATGTTGCCTGCTATGACGCTCAGCTTCCGTAAATTAAGCAGGACTAAGCCAAGTCTGCAAGTTGAACCAGCAGGTTGCCAGAGTACATGTAAGTGCTAGGTCCCTAGGATTTAAGTAACAAAATGCCTCAGGTTGAACTCTGAGAGAGCAAGTGTTCCTAACACTTGTGGGAGTGCAAAATCCAAGTGCTCACCCTTCTGCCAGCAGCCTCATATGGTGCCACCCAAATCCTGAGGCTACTGGTCAGTTTGGCGTCACGCTCGGGGTGATGCTCACAAACAAGACACTCTGCAGGACAGATGAGGGATTTCTTAGGCATGTTGAGAGTATGCTTAAGCCTACATGTCCTTGAGTAGTCATTAGGCCAGGGAGAATGACTGTACTCCAGTGTGTGACTCGAGGAAAAACGACTCTGATTCCATCAGCCAACCTGGCTTAGGCACCAAGCACTAGGAGAGGTTTGGTGGTGCCTTGCGAGTGGAGGGAGGTGCTTGCCTTCAGGCTAGAGTTGGGTCTTCAAGTCAGAGCTTCACTTCTCCTTCTCTCTTCTTAAGAGGAGTCCAGCTGACTGTAAATCCCCTTTTCAGGCAGTTTGGCTTTCTGTGAGTGTCTAAAAGAGCCAGCACGCTCTAAGACTTGAATTTCATAAGATGTCAGGACATCGCAGTTGCTGTGGGTAAGGATAATGCCAGTCTGGCTGCAGACTGACTTACCGGTGTTTAGAAGTCTGTGATGGACCATTTGTATTGTCTGATTTTCAAAGCAACTTTGTTGCTTGAAGGAGGGAGACAGGATTCTTTGTTGGGCGAAAAGTAATTTAGACTAGCGGTTTTCAACAAGTGGGACGCAGGTCTTGAGAATATATAGATTGACACTCTTAGTTACAAAGACTGCTAAGAAAAGCAATCTGAGCTGTGTTGATTGCAGGACTCATCCTGCAGCTCTTACTTTTCTACTGCAAGAGCCCACAACTTGAAAAAGACTGAGTACCCTTGATTCCAACTGGAAACTTCTTGAGGGTACGAGGCATTGTTTGGCATTCTTTTTTTAAAAAAAACTTAAAAAATATGGGCTCTACTTTAATATAAAGGTGGTTAGGTGATACAGCCATGACTTCGCAAAGTCCATATTATTTCTCCCTGCAATTTTAAAGGGAGAGGAAGAAAGCAGGCAGAGCTGCCATTTGGGGGGACCTTGACAATTCAGAGAAATGGGCTGACAGAAACTCTGACTAGAGAGAAGAAAAAGAATTTCTCACAACGGGGTGGCCTGGTGTGGGGCCAGGGGTCCAGAGGGGATGGGGAATCTCCATCCTGCGAGATACTCAAAATTTGACTGGATGAGGCCCTGAGCAGCCTGCTCTGAGTTTGAAGTTGGCCCTACTTGGAGCAGGAGGATGGAGTACAGACCTCCAGATGTCCCTTTCAGCGTTATTCTAGGATTCCGAGGCAGCAAAACCTTTACACATCAAGAGGAAATACC